CATAAAATAAACAACTGATTGAATACACTAAAATTATGAACTTCTGGTTATCAAAATATACCACAATGAAAATGGAAGCTCAATAAAAACAATAAGAAAAAGAAAACCTGGTAGAAAAATGGTCAAAGCCAATGAGTGAATGTGGATCAATAAGAATGCACATAGACTGCTGGTAGAAGTATTAATTAATAAAACAATATAAAAGATTATTTGGTATCATCTTACAAAGTTTAATTTTGGCTTCACTTGCATGAAAACTATAGAAAACTCATGTCATAATGTTCAGGTTTCTGACAGGCAAATGTTTTTAATAGTGACAAATTGGAAAAAAATCTACATGTGTGTAGGCAGAGGATGGATAAATTGAGGTGGACTCATACAATGGAATGTCACTCAGGAGTGAAAATAAGTGTGTTATAGCTACAGGTTTCAATTTGGATATATATCAGATGCAAAATGTTGAATAAAAAAAAAGCAAGATTTAGAAGAATCCACATATATAATTTACATAAATTTTAAAACAATATATTCCTTAGATATATATTTAAATGAGTTACAACTATAAAAATAGTGAGACAATGCTAAACATGAAAATCATAATAGCAGTTAGTCCATAAGGCATTTGTGGGAATATAAAGAAGGGATACCTGAACTCACTGTGGTAGGGTAAGGTGAAAACTCACCCAGGAAAGAATCCCTGAAGACAAAAACACCTGAGGTGATTTTTGAAGAAATAAGATGTGCAAATGATGGGTAAAGGGAGAAGAAAGGAAGGAACTAGGGTAAACAGCAAGGAAGTGAGAGGGAGATCAGGTAACAGAGGAAAAGTGCTGAGAATTTCACCCACTGTGATGGGAGGTGGGTGCAGTTATGCTGGTAAATATTTAACAAAAGGTCTCTAGGGGGAAAAATGTGTATATACACAATATATGGATATCTATATATACATATAATATATACATATGTAAGTTTATCGTAAAGTTTAATATGAATGATGTGTAGCACACAATTTACAAATAACAATAATATTAAATACTCTTTATTGCTAATTCCTTACAGCCAAGAGATTCTCAAAAATTTTGCTGGGGGAAGGGGATCAAGATGGCTGAGTAGGAGGATGTGGAGCTCACCACCCCCCCACTCTGACAAGCACATCAAAATATATTTATGTGTGAAACAATTCTCACAGAAGACCAACTGGAAACTGGCAGAAGATATCCTACGCAACCAACGCTGCAAGAAAGATCTCCACATAACTGGGTAGGGCAGGAAAAGAAAGTGGGGTGGCACCAGGACAGGACCGATGCCCCCGGGAGGAATCTGTAAGGGAATGAGACCCTCGCCCTGGTAAGCCCCCTTGACTGTGGGAAATCTTCTGGAACAGAGGGGCTGGAGAAGCCTAGAATCTCCTCAAGAGGAGTGCACGTGCGCTGGCTTGCTAACAATCAGGGCAGAAAGAGACCTTTGCTGGTGGCTGCAGCCTTGCCACATTTCCCAACCAGATGTTTGGTCTAGCTGTGCAGAAACAGACCAGGGCACCTGGGGTGTGATCCAGGCTAAACTGTGACGACCATTGTCAGCGCATGCACAGGGATGACGGGTCTAGCCAGGCAGATACTGTCAGCGCATGTACTGGGTGGCACCACAAGAGTGTGTAACAGTGAAGCACTTTATTTCAGGCAGACAGGCCCTGGAAGAGGACTCGATATAGCTAAGTATTAATATTGTTAAAATGTTAAAATTAAAGGAACAAATAATCCTAAATTTTATATGGAACCACAAAAGGCCCAGAAATGCCAAAACGGTCCTGAGGGAAAAGAACAAAGCTAGAGGCATAACCCTTCCAGACTCCAGACTATACTACAAGGCTACAGTAATCAAAACAGCATGGTATTGGCACAAAAACAGACATATAGATCAGTGGAATGGAATAGAGAACCCAGATATAAACCCACACACCTACAGTAAATTAATCTATGACAAAGGGGGCAAGAATATGCAGTGGGGAAAAGACAGTCTCTTCAAGTGCTGCTGGGAAAGCTGGACAGCTACATGTAAATCAATGAAATTAGAACACTCACTCACACCATATCCAAAATTAACTCAAATTGGTTTAAAGACCTAAATATAAGGTCTTTTATGACCTTATAAAACTTCTAGAAGAGAACAGAGACAAAACATTCTTGGACATAAATTGTAGCAATATTTTCTTAGATTAGTCTTCCAAGTAGAAAGAAATAAAAGCAAAAATAAATAAATGGGACTTAATCAAACTTAACAGCTTTTGGACAGCAAAGGAAACCATCAATAAAATGAACAAACAACCTATGGAATGGGAGAAAATATTTGCAAAAAATGTGACTGACAAGGGGTTAAATATCCAAAATATACAAACAACTCATGCAACTCAATATCAAAAAATCAAACAATTCAATCAAAAAATGGGCAGAATAGACATTTCTCCAAAGAAGACATACAGATGGCCAACATACACATGAAAAGATGCTCAACATTGCTGATTACTAGAGAAATGCAAATCAAAACCACAATGAGGTATGTCACACAGGCTAGAATGGCTACCAGCAAAAAGTCTATAAATAATAAATACTGGAGGGCTTCCCTGGTGGCGCAGTGGTTGAGAGTCCGCCTGCCGATGCAGGGGACATGGGTTCGTGCCCTGGTCCGGGAAGATCCCACATGCCGCAGAGCGGCTGGGCCCGTGAGCCATGGCCGCTGAGCCTGTGCTCCGCAACGGGAGAGGCCATGGCAGTGAGAGGCCCGCGTACCGCCAAAAAAAAAATTAAAAATAAATAAATAAATAAATGCTGGAGAGGGTGTGGAGAAAAGGGTACCTTCCTTCACTCTTGGTGGGACTGCAAATTGGTAGAGCCACTATGGAAAAGAGTATGGAGGTTCCATAAAAAACTAAAACTAGATCCAGCAATCCCACTCCCGGGCATATATCCAGAAAAGACAACAACTCTAATCTGAATAGATATGTGCACCCCAATATTCATAGCGGCACTATTTATAATAGCCAAAACATGGAAACAGTGCAAGTGCCCATCAACAGATGATTGGCTTAAGAAGATGTGCCATATATATATATATATATATATAAAAATATATACGCACACACATACATACATACACGTATACAGAACTATATTCAATATCTTATAATAACCTATAATGGTAATAATGTGCAAAAAATATGTATAACTGAATCACTTTTCTGTACCCTGAAAATAATACAGTATTGTAAATCAACTATACTTCAATAAAAAAACTTTTACTGAATTCCTATATGCTTGAGCAACCTATAGTTTCAATTTAACCATGATTTGACAATGAGAGTAGCATCCCAATCCACTAACTTTACCTAATATATTTATTGCCACTAAATTTGACGTGTGACTTACTTTTAAACTATTTTTCGTCCTTATACAAATTTGATTTATTAAATAGAAAACTCTTTTGGCTTCAGCACTACCGTATTTCAAACTTCACTCTTTCATCAGTGAGGCAAACAACTTCTTTGCTGAATTAGATGATCGTGTTTAATACTGGAAGAATATTTCCTCAAATAAAGGTGCTATCCTATCCACTATGTAAAGGCTGTAAGCATAAGATACTTTTAAATTTAATCTGAATTATTAACATTTTCTTAAGTCCAGACAATCAACTGAACAATAAATCATCCCCTAATCTGTAGCATTGTCTATTGCCAGACTGAACATACTCCCATATTGGCTGATTTCAAGCTACCAATGTAAAGTCAATGAATGTGAATTTGGGGAAATATACACAGTAGCACAGTTCTATGGTGCTTCCACCGCGCAGATACTTTAGAGATTAGCCACCTCAAGAACTGAGTTAAGAAACAAAGTGGTAGCATAATTTTAAAACGGATGGGTTTTCAGTATTTATCTTTAATCTTAAAGTAGTAGTTAACCTTTAAATAGTAGGTTTAAACATTTTAAAATAGTAGGTTTGTATAATTTAGTTTTTAATAATGGTTGTGTTTAACAACCAGCTTTCAAAATTCCTGAAAATTTGGCAATTGGCTCTTCTGGTCTAGAACTAGTCCTCTCCAGCCCACCAGTTGGAGGATGATCTGAGTGACAGTGAACAGGTGGGAGCAGAAGCAGTCCAGCACCCTGTGGTAGAGCTTGCTGGTACCCCCGGGGAAAACAATGGTACTACAATTTTCTTGCGCTTGGATACGGTCATGTGCACTGAGTTCTGGCTAATAGAATATGAGTGGGAGTGCGGTGCATCACCTTCAGGCCTAACTGATGGCCCTCCCCACCCACCTCTCTCCCCAAATGAGATGTTAGCTCTCTTTTCTCATCTGCTAGCTTAATGGAGAAGACTCAGTGGTCCCAAAAGACAGAGACACAAGAAGCAAGGAACCTGGTTCCCTAATAGTCCTGTAGAACAGAATCACCTCTCACTTGACCCCTCCATCTACCCACTCATTCACGTGCTGACCAGAATAGCCCCGAGGTGAGCAAGAAAAACATTTTACTTTGTTAAATTACAGACATTTCAGGACTTGGCTGTCACAGCAACTAGTGTTTTTTACCTCAACAAATACAAAACCAGCGCAGAGTTTCCTGTTGTTTGCTTTGTTTTGTTCTGCGTTGAGAGTCTCAGCTGTGTTTTGTATCGATCTTCTTTGCTTCTCTATCACATCTTTAGGCTTAGGCTCCAGTTTGGAGAATGTATTGAAGATTGGGGGCCAGAGCAATGGATCTTACTAAACAAGCCCCCACAGAGTGAAAATTATATCGAAAAACAAATTATATGTCAAACCCACCTGGAGTTTGACAGCCTTTTTTTAGGATAAACAGCTTCCAAGCCTGGGGATATGAAATTCCTTAGGGCCATGAGAGAGGAAGTGGGAAATCTTAGATACCACAGGAAGGAAAGCATGTCCTTCAACAATAACATGTCAAGTTTTTATACTTGAATAGTGACACTAAAGGAAGTAGCAAATAAGACCAGGATAAAGAAATTAATTTTTAGAAAATCAGCCTTCCACAAAAAAGCATTGACCAGTCTTCCAGGGGAGAGTTGTCCCTGCAGGACAGCCTATGGGCACTAGTCCAAATTCAAATAATTTCTTCTCCTTCCTCTTTCACCTCTCCAAGTAGATGTAGCACAGCCATATGACCTTTGAGTTATGTGTGAGACATTATTCCTCTCTACTTGCGGTGTCTTTATTTCTTGATTTTTTTTTTCCTTTTACTGGGACTGCTTCCACATACCTTGAACAATACTATCTTTCACAGTCTGGGGTCTCCCTTTTTTTATCTTTTAGTAGGATCCTTTTAAATGTTTCCTGGCTTGAGTTCTTTCTCTGTGTTTGCTGACCCTCTGCTTCATGGAAAGATAGGCACATCTCTCCCGAGCCTTACCTTGTTAGTGATGGCCAAACACAAACACACAGATGTGTCACTCTTTTATCTTCAACTATGGTGCCAGGCCCTTCAGTATCAGAACTTTTCCTGTGTTCTCTGAGCTCGCTTTTATTTTTTCTTTTTTGTTTTTGAGAATAAGAGGTAGGTTCTTTGAAAATAATCTGAAATTGAAATTAGTTCAAAGATTATTTTATGATATATTTAGATCCCAATTAACGGAAGATATGAAATATTTAAAGTGCTTCTTTCAAAACATAAGCCTCCTTTCACAGATGCATAAAATGCTAAATAAATATCTTTCCCTATAACAGATTGCTCAGCAAAAATTACTGTAATAATGCCATCTAATCAAGTCCTGCAGAGTATCTTAAAACTTGCTATCAGGTTTCCTATTTTCAACACTTTTCTACCATCGATGCTGTGTATCTGTGCTTTTTCATCTGTATTATTTAAATACAATAAAAATCAAAAGCCCACCATTCCATATCATAGAAGAATAATATAAAGAAATTCCAATATATAAGACCCAGATGCAATTATTTTGGGACCCAACCTTCTATGGATTTTAAGGAAGAGGAACTATGAAGATGATCCATTATTTATGGCATCTATTACCTATTCATCACTTTTCTGGTAATTGTGCCTCAGGTCCTCTCTGAGCCATCACCCTTCCCCCACGGTTAGCTCCCACGCTTGGGAAAGGCTTGGCTGTTGACTCCAGAGTTATTATGTGCCTTAGGTCACATTCACTCAGCGGATTTCCCTGAGTGATTGCTACAGAGAAACCGGCAAGTAACCTAATCAGAGGTGGTGAGAAATGAGGTGGCTATTTCTGGAACTTGTATTAGTTTCTATATAGCTATTTCTTTAACTTAGGTCTCTCACTCAGGCTCCCTGGGATCATCTTCTATATACACTACGTGCACATTCTTGCCTTAGTCCTTACTTTGGGGAGCATGGGGGAGCCTGGGGACAGCAGGCTAACATACCTATCATAGTCCATCTTCCTCAGGGCAGCCACATTTAGCTTTTGAAATCAATTCATCCCTGGCTAAAAACATTCCAGTGGCTTTATTTTACTACAAAATAAAAATTAAAACTCCTTTTTTTTTTTTTGCGGTACGCAGGCCTCTCACTGTTGTGGCCACTCCCGTTGTGGGGCACAGGCTCCGGACGCGCAGGCTCAGCGGCCATGGCTCACGGGCCCAGCCGCTCTGCGGCATGTGGGATCCTCCCGGACAGGGGCACGAACCCGTGTCCCCTGCATCGGCAGGTGGACTCTCAACCACTGCGCCACCAGGGGAGCCCTAAAACTCCTTTTTGTGATGGTCTGCAGGAATCCACAAAATGTGACCCTGCCACCTCTGACCTTATCTTTTTCCAAACCTCCTCATTTACAGTTCTAGCCACACCAGCCTTCTTTTTGCCCCTAGAATAGGTCAAGCCCATTTTTGTCTCAGGACGTTTGCACCTGCTGTTTATTCTGCTTTGAACAATCTTTCTCAGGATGTTTTCATGGCTGTTTTCTCATTTAGGCCTGAAGTCAAAAAACACCTTCCAAAAGTCCCTACCCCACCACCTTGCCCAGCTCACCTTATCACCAATTCTCTATCACACTTCTATGCTTAATGCTGTTTGCAAATATCTAAACTTGTTTCACTAAGATTCTCTCTTTCCCTCTGGACTGCCAGCTGAGAATAAAGTGCAGAACTGTTGTAGTATCTTATGGAAATGAAGAGGGAACCTGGAGGAGAATGGCACCAACAGGAAGAGTGTAGAGAATTGACACAGAGGAGAAACCAATCCTGGTGCTGTTGGTGGCTTAAACAGGATCCAAAGCCACCCTAGTTCTGCTCTTCTCAGTTAAAGTATATATTAAATCTCTTAATAGGTTTGAATTGTGTTTTCTGTCACTTGAATTTAACAGATAGTATGAACTCCATGGAAAAATCAGTGGGGATATCATTTAAAGACCAAAAAAGCACAAGATGCTCCTTGGAGAAATTGTTTTAAGTGTCTTAAAAGAATCATACTAGAGCAAAGGGTAGCAAAGCTAATAAGACTTGAAGATAATTGTCAAACAAAAATTTTATTTGGTATTTTGACATAAATTACAAAGGGTGTTGTGTAGTGCCCTTCCCTCGAGGTACTCTAAAAGAGTGTGTTACCTGTTTGAGGCGGCTGAATTGGCATCAATCTGATGGTAGGGAGGATCTAAATGATCTCAGACTCCTTTAGACCCTGTGATACAAACAAAACAGGGAAAATGAAAGTTGTTGATAAAATAGTAGGCATTTTTAGGGTAACACAATGTAATTAGCCTAAGCAAGGAAACATACTTGGAGCATGAAGTTAAAAAAAAAAAAAAAAAAGAGTAATAAAGCAAGGCTATTAATTAGAGAGGGCAAACTAATGTCACATGATGGTGACTAGTCCAAGATGCCAGCAGGATATGCCGTGAGGGCCTCAGTATCACTTAGGTATATTCAGAAAGTCCTTTTCTGTCATAAATGATCTCACCATTTTTAACATCTGATATTTGGAACCGAATGTCATTTCAGTAACAGATCGAATAATTATTACAACAACAATAATAACAATGTTTTGGAGCAGTCTCCATATGTCAAGCACTGTTCTAAATACTGAACATTTAGTATCTGTTTTAATCTATCAACAAAACAATGAAGTAAGTACTATTAATTTCTCCAGTTTATAAATGAAGTCACTTAAACAGAGAGGGCATTTATTCTTTTGCTGGATGGAATGTCAGAGACCCAAGAAAGGATAACTAAGATAAGATGCATAAACTACAAAATATAAAATCAACTGAAGAATTTAATAGCCAGCAAATTTGGTCTTTACCAAATTTAGCTCTGATCATTTTTTTGGACCTCAGCTGTTGAGAGTATGTTCTTGAAGTTTAATATTATGAGCAAATCAGATAAAATCTGAAACTCTCTAGTTTTTCATAGAACTGGAATGTGGTAATTTATATTCAGCATAAGGCAAAAACTCTCAAAGTCAGAGAAGAGGCTGATGAAGCTGGGCTACTTGAGGAGACCAAATGGCAAGGAATACAATAAGGCCAGATTGTGTATGACAGAGGAAATGACAATATGCTAGTTAGGAAATAAAAATAGGGAAGTCCAAAGAACTTAATGCATGCAAAGGTTTTTTCCCCTGCAAAAGAAGTCAATTTGAAAAGCTTCAGGGAAAATACAAGTTCTGTGTTGAGATAAGGTTTTAGATGAATGAAGAGCTTAAAATACTTTCAACTTGACATGGCTTGGCTTCAAGGTCTAGCGGTTCATTATGAAGTATAGAAGATGTAACTAAAAGCACAACTCTTACCATGAACCAAGAGAGACCTAAAATGGTGAGGAAAAAGGTTTGATTGCAAACGTGAGTGCCATGCTCGCTAGCTTCCTCTGTTTCAAAGGGAAAACCCTTTTCCTCTTAAACTTTTACACTCCCTCATGCACATGACATCTTTTGTAACAATTGCATAATTCTTCAGGGACAACTCTGTACCCAAGGGGACAGATCCCAAGGACAATACAGAAGAGGAACCCCAGGTGTGCACACCGATGAGTCTCTGGCTGGAACGGTAACTCAGGGACGCTCATTCCACCTACTTCTCTTAGCTTTTAGTCTATGTTGTCCTACATATACCCCAGTGTGCAACGAGAGATAGTGGGAAATAAGGTTTGACTAAAAACAAATCTAATTTCCAAGAAACATTTTCAGAATAAAACAGTAAATAACTGTCTTTCTGGTTGGCTGGTTGCAACAGTGCTCTGGAAAAAAAAAAAAAAAATGGTGTGAGACCACTTGAGATGTTCCTTACTTCTATTACTGAGATTCAAAACAGTATGAACTTCCAGATCTCTCCGCTGAGTCATTCACTCATAGGCCTAAGGCTCTGGAAACTTGGGTTGGGTTCTTTCCTTCTTTTAGACAGATAAGGGTGTAGAGGTCTGCAGAAACTATGGGGCCTTACAAAAGCCTCAGTGGGAAGGACAGCCCAAAGCAGAGACCGTTAGAATCTTGAACTCTCCAGTTCTCAGCTTGGGGATCCCAGGAACACATGATCCATCATTTTCACTAGTGCTTTTTTATTCCTCTCTTCCTATATTTTCAGTTTATTGTGATGAACACTAATAACCACCTATGAAATACCATAGTACAAGTACAGTACATCCATTTGAAATACTGTGATATGATTCCAATCTGTCTGACTCCTTTTCTCGCCGTCTTCTGCTAACACACCTGGTGAAACTCTGAAGGTGCAGCTGAAGTCCTGCTTTTAGTCTTTTTTAAACATCAGTTGGAAGCTGCAACTCAAAGCAATGTGACCCGAGGCTCTTCTGTGAATTAAATGGCCAGGTTTCAAAAACACGCACATGGCATTTGAATGAAGTTCAGGGCAGCTGGTCAGAGAAAGGAATTGAACAAAAGAAGGGCAAACTTAAACTCACTAAAAGAGCAGGCATACCAACAACAAAAGCAGGCAGACAATGGCACCGAGGTCAGGCGGAGCTTCCCAGGCCTCTGACAGAGCTAGGGCTCCCGAGAGTTTGGCAACAGTGTAACTAATTAGGGAGCTCAGGATACCAAGTGTCAAAGCACTATTTGGTCTCCCAGGCATGACTTGGACAGTTTCATAGCTGTCACCTTTTCTGGGGACACCTTGAAACTTTCTGGGTCAACTCGAAGCCAATCTCCTTCAGCAATTCAGTGGCACTTATAGGGATGGCTCATGTGACCCTTTTCTTGAAAGGTGCCCTAGGGTTAGAACAGAAATTCTGCCCCACCGACCGTTCCTTTCAATTAGTAATAAAGCAGCCTGGACCAACTTCTATAGGGCTCCATAACATTCAAACCACTATTTTTTTCCCATGAGGGTCTATTTTGTACCCAGAACTGCACAAGTTGCTGTCACTAAAAATTTAGAAGTAATTCACAGCACCCCTGTAATTTACAATCTTTTTTTTGGACACAAGATTTACAAACCTGAAACAATGCTATAACAATACAATATTGTCCTGAAAACCAACTTAGCCTTAATTATATTCTGTGTTAAATAGAGTTGGTCTCATATATCCTCTCAGAATATGAAATCCTAGAGTGCAGGTCCATGTCATCTGTATCCCCTAGAGCACGGTAGCATTGAAGCTGAGCACTGCAGGTCTGCAATGAATAATGGATGGTTTGTAGGATTAATCAATTGGGAACCTAAAATGCCTGTGTTTCTTCATGGGTTAGGTCCCCCGGTAGCCCTAGAGGTAGCACTAGGTGGAAAATGGCAGTAGCTTATACAAAGAACTTCATTCTGGGTTGCAAAAGGAAGTTTATCTTGTTTTTGCCTTCCTGTTTTGAAATCTGCAGGATGGCTTCCCCTCATGCCTGGGTGCTATCTGGTAAGGAAGTGTTCCAGTAGGGAGTTGCTTGGCAATATTCCTGGCCTACTGTTATCAGCATCTGGCCCATGTCACAAGCATTCTCCAGCTGGATTCATCTGTCAGGAGGACAGATAGGAAAGCACCTTGTAGCACAGAGAGTATGTTCGATGGCACCACACCTGTGTGTGCATGCATGGGCACACACACACAAATGACACAGGAAAGTACAAGACAATTGCATCAAACAGCAATTAGCTCAAAGAGAGTTTGTCATTTTTCCTCTGGCAGAATGGGGGGCAAGGGTGGAGGGAGTGCAATAGCCCCTCTCTCAGAACTCTTAGAAGAAAGTCGGTTGGCCACACGATATAACACATGTATTGGTCAGTTGGAGGAAAGAATCTCCCCACTTTCTGAACTTTATTGTAAAGGGAAATGCATACTAAAACTATGCACAAGTTTTGTCAACTCTAGTTGCATTTTACAGACTGCTTTTGCTAGTCCTATCCAAAGAAAATAATGGGACTCAATCATTCATCCATCTAACCAATAGTTAATACCTACCCTCTGTATGCTAGGCACTAATTCTAGAAGCTGAGGATATAGTGTTGAACAAAAGACCCCTGTCCTCAAGGAGACTATAACTAGTTATAGTTTTAGTCATTAGTTATATCATTATATACCATTAGTCATATCATTATAACCAGTGGTGTAACTAGTATATATCATTATAACTAGTGATTTCAGAGAATAAATGCACTTTCTCTGAAGGAAATTAACACTGTGGGATGATATTGGAGGAAGATATTTAAGGAGGTTTCCCAGAGCAATCCTGGATGAGGAGGTAACGTTTGCACTGAGAGCTGAATTATAAGAATGGGAGAACATTCCTGGCAGAGAGAAGAGCAAACACAAAGGCTGTCACTTTTCTTTATTTACTTGTGAGACGAGCAGCCTGATCCCTGACCCAGACAGTCTTCCACAGCGATAAAACTGTGTGTTAGCATGGCCTCCATTCAGAGGGGTTATCCTTTCAGCTGGCCCAAAGGAATGAGGGCAGAGGACAGGGACCCAGCAGAGAGACTATTTCTCAGCTTCCAAGGAAAAGAGAAAACATCAGAAGAGGAAGAATCACAACAGGCCAGGGCATATCTCTTACTCATCCTTGTAGTAATGGTCCCTGCAGTCCTGAGGTAATGAAAATTACCTTCAAGCATCCAGGAGGCAAAGGCCAATCAGTGACAGAGTATTAGATGCTTTTATTGGTCATAGAACACAGCCCACCACGGGAATCACAGCATGGCCTGGGCCAAGTTCAACACAAAGAGATGGCCTCTCATGTTCCAAGTTGAAATTAACTTTTCTTCCAGTTTTCTCCCTCATTGTAACCTCCCATATAGGTGTGACAGAAGGAAGAAGACAGAGAGACAGCTTGCCCCTGGGGCTCTAACTCTCTGACCTGACAAGTTTCTGATCCTTCCATATACTTGTGAGCTCATATAAACTTCAATGTCATGGTTAAAAACAAAGAGTTCTGGAGTCAGGCTGCCTGGATCCAAACCCTGGCTACACTTCTGGCTGAGTGACCTAGAATAGGTTACATCATCTCTCCAAGCTTGGCTTTCCTCATCTGTAAAATATAACCTCATAGAGTGGCTGAGAGGATTAAAAGAGATCATTCATGTAAAGTCAGAACACATGTACTACCTAGCACACAATATGCACTTGATCAAAGCCAGCAGCCATAGCAGTAAGGAGAAGAGAAAGACAGACAAGTCAGTATCATAGTAATACACACAGGCTCGGTACCCAGTACCCATTCATAAGCATCAAGAACACTTG